GCAGTCCAGGAGGTCCAACTTGCGCACCGGCGCATCCCGCGTGTATCCAAGGTCAGTGTGCAAGGCCTCCGGCCCTCGCTTTCACCAACCGACTACCAAGTCCGCTTCTCCCCAGCCACGACCCTTCCCACAGTGCTGCGGCTCAGCGCAGAAAGCCCCCGCTTCCAGAGGACCGTCGCCTGGTCGACGCTCCACGGCTCGGTCACCAGCGTTCCCGAAGGTGCAGCGGTCATAGATCGAACCAGCCTCGCAGTATTCCGTTTGGGTTTATAGGGTTTAGGATGTTGTTTTGTACAGCTGAAGAATGCTAATTCTAGTGGCTCTTCTTTGAACTCGGTGTCAGCATGTTCCCGATCAGCATCACGCAATCTTCAGTCCTGTGGTAATTCCTCGGCGGTACCTGATGTGAACCATTTGGTTGGATGTCGAGCTGTCGACAGTTTTGAGGTTTCTTTTCATCTCTCCGAAAACTCCGAATCATCAGCAGGTTTGAGCTCCTGTAGGTTTTGCTAGTAGGGAAGTAGCAATTAGCATCAGGAATGTTGACGCACGTTGAGACTGCGGGGGCATCCCTGCAGGTGTGCAAGATCTGCATATCCAAGTGGAGGTGACAGACGTTGTCGTGGGGCTCCCACGGCTCGCGGGGCACGATCCCGACTGCCGCTCACAGAGTGCCGAACTCTGGACGGCGTACCATGGGGAAGCGGAGCCTACTGAAGAGCTGTGTTCACGGGTCTGCGCCAACAGCTTGAACTGCTTTACGTCCTATCCTGGCGCGAACGGCTGCTTTGCCTTGGTGGGGAAGCCAAGCTGCTGGGAGCTGCCGCAAACCAGCGACATCGGGGAGGTCAATGCGAGCTTGCAAGGAGCAGACAGCAGCTCAGGGCAACTGCCCGCTTGGCGTGCCGAGCGACATCTCCGAGGCCGGCTCAGTGGTTGTCGACGCAAGGAGAATGAGACGCTCGTGGGTCAGATGGTGGCCGTGGAGGCAGGCAAGCTTGCCTTCGGTGTGGTGCAACCAGACTGGGCTGGCCCAGCGGCTACTTTGAGCTTCTCCCTCGATCTGGAGGTTGGCGGACAGAGCTTCGAGACAGACTTCGTTCCCATCACGCTTCACCGAGGACTCCCGGCGCCAAACGATGTTCTGTGCCTGCTAATTGGGGAGAAGGACGCCGGCAGCGAGGTTCTTAAGCCTGAGGGTAAGGTGGACAGTCAGGGCAATGCTGTTGTCACCATCTCCGAGTATGACCCGACGGTCTTCAAGAGCCTCCGACTGCTGGTGATGCCCTTGCTTCCTGATCCGGATCCCTAGCTCGCAGTAGTTCCGCGTGTAGCGTTTCGGACTTGAATGAAGGGACTGAGAGTAGGAGTGGCCGTGTGAAAGAGAAGCTTTGCTAGCCCAGGACCTGCGAGCAAACTGGTCGGAGTGGTGTGCTCCGAGCCAGGAGGACCAGAAACGTTTGGAGCAGCATAGCCGATGCCAAACCAGCGACATCATCAGATCGCGCTACAAAGTTTGCGGAGCCCCGGGCGGCGTCACCCACGGGCGGCCGCTGAACGACGAGCCCCTCGTCGTCAACCTCGATCCTTGGCTGGGTCGGCCACAGGCGCAGCCCACTTTCGGCATCGTTCACCGCGATGGTCCAGGCCACGGCTCGGGATCGAAGGGGTCGGCCAAGGAGCGCACTGTGGCCCTTCACTTCGAAGGGGTCGACGGCCCGGCCGCTTGGGCAGCGCACCACGGCTGCGCGCTGCTAAACTCCAGGGAGGCAGAGCGCGGCATCTTGGCCTCCGCAGATGCCATTTGCAGCCTGCTGTCAAGTTGCGCTGATCGGCTCTGCGAAAAAGTCCACCGTTACACCTTGGGTGCTGGACAGGTTTGGGATGAAGCAGCCGGGGGTCGTGTAAACTCACTACCGTCGGTGTCAGCGGAGCAAACCGCGAAGGTGCTGACGTGCTTGCAACAGCAGGCCCCGCCCTGCAGCCAGAGCATCA